CAGACTCAGTTGGGCACGACCATTTTAATTTCTCCGCTGGCCAAAAGTCTTGTGCAGAGCTTCAGTCACCGCGGTGGAGGCTGGAAGAGGGCCTCAGTGAAGACTCGTCTGTCCCTGGAGCATCGCTGGAATCAGACACATGTTCTCCACTCCCCACGACCATCAGCGCAGCAGCAGCTCAGGATATGGCCTGGTCCAGGAAACCTTGGGATCATCTCATCGCTGGTCTTGGATCCAATCAGTGACTCCGCATAATCTGAGGACCTCGGGATGAGTATCCCCAGGAGAAAATCGCGTAGCTGCTGTTCATAGTGTATATAAGCAAGATGCAGAAGCCTGTGTGGAACCCGCTAGGTGATGAACATATATACTGTAACAGCTCTAGATACTGTACCATCTATTTAATCTGTAATGCTAGTAATTTACCTGGCCTCACATGTGTTTTGTGGACTTGAAAAAGGCATTCAACCATGTTCCTTGTGGCATTCTGTGGGGTGCTCTGGAAGTATGGGCTTGGAGGTTCCTTGATAAGGGCTGTCCTCTCTCTCTCTCTATATATATATGAACAGAGCAGGAGTTTGGTTCACATTGCTGGCAATGAGTCAGACTTGTTTTTGGTGCATGTTGGAGGGCTGAGTGTGATGTGGTAGGGATGGGAATCAGCACCTTACCTCCAAGTCCAAGGCCATAGAGCTCAACTGGAAAATGGTGCCTATTTATAATATAATCTATTTCCGAGAATAAGTGCATCAAAGTTGTATAGTCATACAAATGACAATTATGCAACTTCTGAAAATGCAAAAACGGGATGCAGGAAAAATAAAAGCACACTCTGCAACATGAGACATCAGTAAACCATGATCACTGCACATTTACTTTCATCATGACATTAATCATCATGATATTACATTTTGAAGTACATACTTTCTGTTCCTCTTTATTTCGGTCCTCTGATCAATTTTGATACAGTACACACTTTATTCTAAGCTATATTTATTTATTGATTGAAGGCATGTTTAAATAATTTTTGTATCCAGAAAAGAACACAACAAACAAAATTTAGCCCAACTGTGTATTCACTGTGCTCTGTCTTTGTATGGCAGCACTATAGAGTATCCTATAATATATGATTAATTATCAGAGAGTTGTAAATACTGAAATATACACAATACAATACACATTACTGGCTCAAAAACACTATTGTATTAACTAGAAACACTGAGACTGCTGCCCCCGTTATCTGGCCATAGACAAGTGGAATAAAATGACAACAGTATTTGCAAAATAAGACATACAAAATATGCAGGGCGGGGAATTGAGAACCAAACACAACATAACTTTTTACAATTCGCTCACACTTACGTGGTTTGATTTTTAACAGATCTCTACAAAATAATGCATGGTCTGTTCTAGAATTCACAATTTTTATCACAAGAACAGAATAAGTTACAATGTGCTTTTTCTTCTTTGTTTTTAGTTTCCTTTTTTAATAAATTTGCAAAAAACAACTCTGTTTTCCGTCAATATGGGGTGCTGCTGTGTGTACATTAATAAAATGAACGTAAATTCATTCATTTTCTTGTCGGCTTAGTCCCTTTATTAGTCCGGGGTCGCCACAGCGGAATGAACCGCCAACTTATCCAGCACGTTTTTACACAGCGGATGCCCTTTCAGCCGCAATCCATCTCTGGGAAACATCCACACACACACACTCATTCACACACCTACACTACAGACAATTTAGCCTACCCAATTCACCTGTACTGCATGTCTTTGGACTGTGGGTAAAACCAGAGCACTCAGAGGAAACCCACACGAATGCAGGGAGAACATGCAAACTCCACCCAGAAACTCAAACGCCAACCAGTGATCTTCTTGCTGTAAGGCAACAGCACTACCTACTGCACCACTGTGTCGCCATCAATGTAAATGATTTTAGCAAATGGTTGTAATATATAAAAAGAGTAAAACATCTAAGGGGGTTTGAATACTTTATAACTCAGTGCACAAAAAGGGGAATATTTTCACTATTCCACTGTCTTTTCTCCATTAGGCTAGCCTGTGCGCCCATGTCATATTGCCTTGTCTAAGCTTTAGCTAACTTATTACATCATGTCAACATGAATGTTAGTGAGACTAATTGACAGTAACATTACTTGCTTTTGGATAATTCGATAATTGTACATTTAAGCCACATTTTGTTCTTTGTTAATCATTACTCACCTCCATGCTTTAAAGACGATTGACAGGCTAATTTACCTCAGCTGCTCTGTATGGCACATACCACAGTAGGTCAGCCAGAAGTGCTAAGAACATACACTCACCGGCCACTTTATTAGGTACACATTACTAGTACCGAGTTGGACACCCTTTTTCCTTCAGAACTGCCTTAATCCTTCATGGTCTATGGTTGGATATGTTGTGTGTTCAGAGATGCTCTTCTGCATAGCTCGATTGTAATAAGTGGTCATTTGATTTACTGTTGCCTTTCTATCAGCTGGAACGGGTGTGGCCATTCTCCTCTGACATCAACAAGGCATTTGTGCCCACAAAACTGCAGTATGCCACTCACTGGATATTTTTTCTTTTTCTGTTTGTTCTCTGTAAAGCCTAGAGATTGTGCGTGAAAATCCCAGTAGATCAGCTGTTTCTGAAATACTCAGACCAGCCCGTCTGGCACCAACAACCATGCCATGTTCAAAGTCACTTAAATCACCTTTCTTCACTATTCTGATGCTTGGACAAACTGCAGCAGATCGTCTACATGCCTTAATGCATTGAGTTGCTGCCATGTGATTGGCTGATTAGAAAATTGTGTTATTAAGCAGTTGGACAGGTGTACCTAATAAAGTGGCCGACGAGTGTATATGTGCCTATACTGTATGTAAACTACATGCAGCACACTAGTGAGTACAGGAATTAAAGTGATTCGTTCTGTCAAGAAATTTAAAAGCCTTGTACATCACTAAAGCTGAAAGCCTCCAGCAAGTAGCCTGATTAAAGCTGCAAGGTTTGTTTGATTAATTAAGGGCATTATACGTGTGTTTGCTTTGGATCTCAGTAATTTGGGCTAGAAACTAATATAAAGACTTAATCTGTTTACTTAAAAAAAACTGGGATTTATTCATTCACAATTTCTTCATAAGCAACATCATGAAGCTTAAATTCACAACTTGACTCAACTGAAACCATGTATAACTTCAGACTTGACTCAACTCTTCCGTCAGTTTTAAGGTCAGCCACAAGGAGGCAGTTTTTACCACTACATCTTAATCGATCATTCTCAGCCTGTTATACGCGTTCCTGTTCAACACCCACCAAGAAAAATAAACTTTTTTTAACGTGTCATATTTTGACTACATATTGATATGGTCCATGAGGTTAGACTACCACAAATACGTGAAAAACATTTTATGTTGCTGCAGAGCTTGTTTATAATGGCAGAATTCTGGCATTTAGTCATTAAGCATTTAGTGAGCAGCTCTAAATGCGCTTTATGTATTTATAATCTTAAATTTGTGCAGCATTCTTGTTCATTCAGGTAGCATTGATTTATTTCTTCATTTTCTTTTTTCTGTCCAGGCCCGGGTCATGGGGCAGCACCAGTCTCAGGAGAGAACCCCAGGCTTCTATCTCTCCAGACACTTCCTCTTGCTCCTCCAGGGGTGATCCCAAGGCGTTCCTAGGCAAGCCGAGAGACATAGTCCCTCCAGCCTGTCTTGGGTGCTCTCCAGGGAATCCTCCCCGTGGGACAAGCCTGCAACACCTCCCTAGGTAGGCGTCCAGGAGGCATTCCAATCAGATGCCTGAGCCACCTCAACTGCTTTCTCTCTATGTTAGGGAGCAGTGGCTCGAGTTCCTCCCGTGTGACAGCTCATCACCTACACTCTCAGAAATCAGTCAAAATGTACACTTTTATACCCTAAGTGTGCCCATTGGTACCCTAAAAGTACTACTTTGTATCTTTAAGGTACTATAAGGTAGACATTTGTACTTTTTGGGTATAAATGTGTACTTTTAAGGCACATATGTTGTCTTATAAGGTACAAAACTACCTTTTGAAAAGGTACCACCCGAGTGACAGGTTCTGAAAGTGTATCTGTAAAGGCCTGCCACCCTGGAAGAACACTCATTTCTGCCACTTGTATTCAAGATCTTGTCCTTTGGATCATGACCATAGGTATGGTGCAGCTGCATCTCTTCCCTTTAGCCAGGCCAGGGGGGGGGGGGTTTTATGCAAGTGCCTGCTGGCTGGGTTTTTATTCCACGGAAACCGGCCAGACTCTGCCCAAAGGAGTGGCATGCAACCAGGTGGTGGGCCTGCAGGAGAAGCCATAAGGAGTCTGTTCATTGGGGAAAGGGCAATGGTTGAAGCTCAGGACCACGGTGACCCAATCGTCAGGCACAGAAACTGGCTCTTAGGATATGGAATGCCATTTTGGTAGCATTTTTGCCTCAAATCCTGCTTGAGGATAGTTCACCCAAAAATGACAAATCTGCCATCATTTACTCACACAATTTTTGTTCAGAACCTATTTTAATTGATTTCTTCTGTTGAACACAAAAAGAAAAATGTTATTAGTATTTTAAGCAAAAAGCCTAATATTTTCCTGCACTCTCAGAAATACACGAGCTGTACACGAGAGGTACACGAGCTGTCACTGGGGTGGGACCTTTTCAAAAGGTACAAATTTGTACCTAAAAGGTCCATATTAATACTTCAAGGGCACACATTAGTAGCTAAAAAGTAAAAAAGTGTTAATCTTAAAATTTGTAGGTACTAATATATAGTTTTGATGTACCAATATGGACCCTTCAAGTACACGTGTACCTTTTGAAAAGGTACCACCCCAGTGACAGCTCTGGTACCTTTATTTCTGAGAGTGTGCCATGGAAGTTGATGGGTATACCAGCAACCAACATTCTTCAAAATATCATCCTTTGTATAAAAGTTTAAAAACACACGAGAGAGGGAGAGAGAATAAATAATCAGGTAACAATTTTTTTGGGTTAACAATTGCTTTAATATACCTGGTTGACACTTTATTTATTTTTACTTGATCAGAGTAATATCTTGTTCTTCTGAAAAATTTAGCAACATCGATTTATCAGAGTATCTAATCACAAAAATCTCTCTGCATCATTCTTGTAATGGTAATTTTTGGTTATTATAACACATTCATTTTCAGTTGGGCAACTAGTACCAAAAGATGTCCTAAAATTAACTTTTAGATTTATTTAACATTTTTAAATTTCCTTTTTTTCTAAAATCATATTACTGTTCTTATTTTGCAGAACAGGCTGGAAATCTTAAAGCTGAGATGACAGCAGCAATGTTTTGTGTTATTTCATACTGTGATATTGTCATCAACCCTAATGCAATCATTTAGTCCAACCCGAACTCATTTTTTGGAGCATATTTATGTGTGATGATGTAGCTAATGTGCTGTGAATGACTTGCATAAAATATCAATAGGTGTACAGAAAGTTACAACACATTGCTTTATTTATAATAAGTAGCTTAAATAGAAATATTACAAATTACATATAAATATAAGGTATTTGTATATCTGAGAACAGTGAAATAAACGTAGTCAACTGAAATCCTTTCGCATCAAAAATGACATTGTTAGTATAAACACAAGCATAAGGGCCTACAGTATCAGGGAAAGAACACAGGACTCAAGAATGAACAGAAAACCTGAAGAAGTAAGGTTAAGTAAGGCTTAAACAAAAGTTGCCAGCTGGATTGAGTTATTGATGTCCAAAACTATGATCACAAATGACGAATTCCTGAAGTAAAAACTGTTTGATACTATTGCAACTAGTGATTATATTTTGTGGAAAAAAAACCCCACCACCACTCCTAGACATTCACCGCCCCCATTAGAAAACATTTCCATTACATTCATGAGCAAGCAAACACTTTTGTGGCTTGACAAATCTGCTTACGGCTCCAAACATTAAAACAAGAACTCTGGTTCACGATTATTACATCTTTCTTTAAATTAAAACAATGATTTCATGTCTTAAAAAGCTTATATTTACACTTGAAAGTGTTGTTCCACAGTCCTAGCTTTCGTATGACATGCTGAGCTTTGAAATGAAACACTAAAATGGTCTCGAACAAAGACAGGGTGTTACATGGTTTTTCAAGTACATTCAGCTGTCGATGATTAAAACACTATGATTTTATAAACACGAAAAATCAGGTCACTGACAAACGTGTTCAGAATTAGCTTACTACTTCTGTTTTGCAGAACAGCATTTGTTTACAGGCAGCTGACATCCTTTATGTGTGTAATACACGAGGATCTTCAAAGTCAGTGCTCATAAACAGTATATGATGCCCTTTTTTCATACTGAGTCATAAAAAAAAACTGAAACAAAACAAACCTAACTCATTTGTCTGTTGAGAGGAAAATGTGTCATGCTTCTGAGAAGATCAAGAGATGTGATCTTCATATTTCGAAAGGAAGAAGAAAAACACCAAGAAAGTATCACAACCCCCACGCAATCCTTGTTAATGTCAGCGAGCGTTTCCTAGTACAATAGCTGGAAAATCTCAGGTGTTCTAGCAGCTGATTCTGAGAGCACGTCCTATCCAAATGCCACACTTAAAGTGAACGGTAATACAAGAACAGCTGCCATTGCATAACGTGGGCATGTGTACAGACAATCATTTATGCAATATTTGTCGCCCACGATCCACACTCTACTAGTTGTCTGCCCACTTAATGATAGTGATGTAGGTGGAGAAGGGTCGTGGCTGGTAGTTCAGCTGATCGCTTGGAAATGCTCTCACAGATAACCGGTTGGACGCTTTGTTCATGTGCATCAGAAGAAAAGTGTTGAGCATTGCATCTTGGAAGTTTTCATTCACCACCCGAGTGTCGTGTGCGGCTGAAAATATTTCTTCACGATCACCATCATCAAAATCCACTTGAAATTTGACTTCAACCTTAGAGGTACTATTTTTTTGTGGCTGGAGATTGAAATTTACTTGTACGTAGACTAGGTAAACACCTTCCTTTGGTAGGATTATCCAAGTTTTGTTGTGGTCCAGAATACTCTCATCGTCCTTCCTCTTCTCCTCCCACTCATCTTCCCATATCAGGCGACTATCACTTGTATGATTGCAAGCTTAAAACAGAGACAGAGAGAAAGAGAATAAAAAATTAGGACAAACATGGAATGCTTAGGCTTATGTAGACTTCAGTCATGTCAAAAGCTAGTTAGTTACCTGTAAGAAGCAATTGTTCTTGGGAGAGTTGATGTCTGAATATGCTTGCTATCGCGCTTGCTGTCAGATCAAAAAGAGGTATAAGAAAATAATGCTGAATTAAGCAACACGAATGACTAAAAGTGCAACTGCCAGCTGTACAGGAACGTGCCCTAAAGCACCCACAAAATGCATTTACACAAACACACACAGACTCCCGCAAACACTTGCGCACCACAGGAAAAACGAGAGCACAGCTGGCTGATTTACAGACAACAGGTTTGGTCAAAACTCTACGGTCGATAGGATAATGGTGAACTACAGCAAATGGAGATTCAAACAAGTAAGTGCTTTCAGAACTGTTCTGTCGTATCTGTTTTTTATTTTAAAGTTAGCGCGGCGCATTCGGAAGCCAGTTTTGGGTTACACTTTTCACTGATTTGTGAAACAACTCTCAAACAAAATAATAAATGATTTCTCAGATTTAATCTAAACAAATAGTTCAAGATCTTCGTGCGAGATTACTGATGTCAAATAATAACCTGTGGGAGTTTGTCGGTTTACTAATTAATATCATGTGTCCGCTAAAACACTAGTCGCATTCGCCTGAGAAGGATACAAAACTTGTAGGATATCTGTATTACAGATGTAAATATTACAAATGACTACAAAACCTTTAAGTCTTATTGATGAACTTGAACATTTTGTAATTTCGTAAAAAATACACAATTTCATTAGTAGCTACCTTGTGGAAATAAAATAAATACAATTCAAGAACAAGGATACATTACACTAATATAAGTAGACTAAATATGAGTTAATAAGGAGTTAATAATAATATAAACTTACCATTTATGGCGCATATCTTGCAACCAGGCACCTGTTAAAATCACGGTAAGAAATGTCATGTATATTTTAACAGTAGAATGAACAGAAACAGAGAAACTATGTGAACATGCTTAGCATGATTGTTTCCATTCGTCATTTTAGACAAACGCGCCCTCTGCAACTCAATCCATGAATTAACTAAGTTAGCTACCATCCGCATTAAATGCTGGACAAACAACTTTAGCTGGAAAACTATAAGCAAGTTTATCAGCACATGAAACAGATGAGATGACACGTTTTTCCCCTTTTTCATTAAAAAAACAGACCGCAAACTTACTTGAATGGTAAACTATCAAACGTTATTCATACTCAGTCATTCTTTAAACTCTCCCACTGAACCACGAACACAAGATAATTCTATGCTCCAAAATAGCTGTAGAAACTTAAGTGTAATAGATCCCATTATATTTACCTTCGGTAAGAAGATGTAGGTCAAACACGATGCGATTAAAACAAGGAGCAGAGCTATCGATGTGCAGAGAATGTGCGCTCTTGCTGCGCGCGTTGTATCCATGCCTGCTACTCCAGATGCTCAAATAGCTCCAGTCTTACACTAAAAAAGCCTCTTGTACCGGATGAAGTTGACGAGTGTAATGAGACACGACTCTCCCACGCATTGAACGGTGAGCTATTAACTCCACATCACCTGTGGGTGACACGAGGGTGGAGGATGTGTTCATGGTGACGGCAAACATTTTACACGAACAAATTTAATGTAGTTTCGTTGACTGAGACATTGAGACGATGCTATGAAAGTAAATTGACATGTTGAAACTTTCACTCATGTTAGTTCGGAAATTAAACAACCATTAAGAGACACAAGAACTGTTCTGGTATGTCTTAAAGGCAAAGTTCAACCTGAAAAATTGAATCCATTATTTATTCCAAACCTCTAAAGAACTCTAAAGGAGATTCACTCTAATCGAGATGTCAAGGCTGAGTAATCACCATTAACGTAGTTTACTCATGAAACATAGTATTGTGTGAGACCCAAAGTCATTGGTATCTTCTCACAATCATCTAGCAATTTCAATCTATCAATGTCTAGTTTGTGAATGAATATTTAGTTTCATTCAAATCTTTTAGTGATTTTCTCTCATTTAGTTTTATAGGTGGAAAGAGAACTGAGAGAAGTTACTTAAAGAAATAGTAATAGTGCAAGAAACTGAATATTATTTAAATCATTGACTGGAAAACCTAACACATGTCCACTTTTTAGTTGACAGCATACAACAATTTAGATTTTAAGTGATTTAAAAAAATGCTTTTTTTGAACAGTCCACAATTAAGACCACAGTTCAAATAAATACTGAGAGTACCATTTTGATGTAACTCTAAATCATTTGTATGTATTTTGCATAATATTAATATAGGAGATGTTTGAGTGCCTTATGTTTACGTGTTTTTTACATTATTATTATCATTATTGTGCTATTACTATTAATTCAGAGCCTTTGAATTAAACATTACCAACTAGTTCACAAGTGAATTGAAGCTTTATTTTTACAACATCAGCTCTTTTTACAGCATCAGCTCTTATGTCATTATGCAACAGGATGTTCATGGTTAATTTTTTTTAAATCTCAGAGTTTCTAAATCTGCTGAAGTTATGAAGTTGTTTTTTTGAATATTTTTAATTAAAATGGGATGTGAGCATTAGTGCGCAAAACCTTTTTATGTAATGTGCTTTTTATTTAAACCGAAAGCTTTAAAACACACTGTAAAATATTCTTGGTTCCACACAATTGATTTGTGTTGAGACAACATGGAAAAAAAGTTAACTTGTTAGTTTTTTACAAATTGAAGTGAATTCAACATAAAACAATTAAGTTGTCCCACCCAAAAATTAAGAATTTTGTTGTTTCAGTTCATTTTAAATCACTATTAATAAACAGCAAAATATTTTTGAGTGCACTATACAGTCCTAAAATTAGACTTATAGATGTCTTATGGTGCATTCAAGTCATGCTGGAAGGATCGTTGTAGGTCTATGAGTTGAAAGCACTTGAACTTCACCGCAAATCCAGAATTGTGAGTGCGAAACTTTGGATTTCCTTTAAGGCCTAAGTGATTCATGTCTGTGAAAAAACAAACAAACAAACAAACAAACAAACAAACAAACAAACAAACAAACAAACAGGACCAGCTCAGTCTCACAAGGAAACATAACTATTTATGTTAAGTCATAAAAGTCATTTTTTTTTTAAGTTGTGCCCCAAACCCCTCTCCTAACCCTCATTGGGGGATAAGCAGATTGTACTAAAGTGTATGAATAAGACTGTATAAATAATATATATTAGACATTTTAACAAAATGTTACGAAATGGCATGAGATTGCTTTAGCAGGAATTAATGTATGAAGTATCTATTATGATTGGAAACTTTCATTACAAATTTTTTTTTTCCAATAAAATTATTTACAATAAATAATATTTTACACTCACTGGCCGGTTTATTAGGCACACATTTTTATCAGATAGTCACATGGCAGCAACTCAATGCATTTATGCATGTAGACATGGTCGGGCTGGTCTGAGTATTTCAGAAACTGCTGATCTACTGGGATTTTCACGCACAGCCATCAACATACAACCGAAGTATGCAGAAGAGCATCTTTGAATGCACAAGACGTCAAAACTTGAGGTGGATGTGCTATAGCAGCAGCAGCAGACCACACCCAGTGCCACTCCTGTCATCCAAGAACGGAAAACTGAGGCTGCAATTCACACTGGTCACCAAAATTGGACAATAGAAGATTGGAAAAATGTCAAAAGACTCATGGTCTGATGAGTCTCAATTTCTACTGCAACATTTGAATGATAGGGTCAGAATTTGTCATCAACAAGATGAAAGCATGGATCCATCCTGCCTTGTATCAATAGTTAAGGCTGCTGATGGTGGTGGTGGTGGTGTAACGTTGTAGGGGATATTTTCTTGACACACTTTGGGCCCATTTGTACCAATTGAGCATTGTGTCAACGCCACGCCTTTGTGACCACAGTGTACTCATCTTCTGATGGTTACTTTCACTGTACTCAAATGGCCTTCACAATCACCAGATCTCAATAGAGCACCTTTGAAATGTGATGGAACGGGAGATTCACATCATGGATGTGCAGCCGACAAATCTGCTGCAACTGCAAGAAGCCATCATATCAGTATAGACCAAAATCTATGAGGAATAATTCCAGTACCTTGTTGAATCTACGCCACAAAGGATGAAGGCTGTTCTGAAGGCAAAAGGGGTCCAACCTGGGACTAGTAGGGTGTACCTAATAAAGTGGCCGGTGAGTTTATATTGCGTTATTATGATGTAATTCAACTTGCAGAACCTTCTAAAAATACTATGCAGATTGTTTATCGATACTTTGTAGATGTGGTGTAAAAATCTTCGAATTTTATAATACATAAATTGTACTTAGAAAGTGACTTCTTGACCACACTAAAATGGACAAATACATCTAGTTATCAATCTCTGTCACTCCAATTTTTTTTAATAGCAACAATATATGGTTTGTCTCATACTAGTGTTTGCCTCATTCTCCGATCAGAAGCCACATCAGATGCAGAAGCAATCGATTGACGAGCAAAACATACAGTACCACAAACATAATAATGTTTTCATAGTTCTAAAGCTTTCCATTATGGAGTCGTTGCAATGACGATTATGTTTTGTGACTAATAAGGAAATCCACCTAATCGCTGGGACTTTTTCCCCCTTTTTAGGCCTAACAAGACTGGTGTAATTTATACTTTTGGTGAAAAATATTGGCTAAAGTTAAGCACTCCCCCAAGTCAAAAACATCTGTGCACAGCTATAAAGCTCGGTTTTCAGCATTGAATGCTCCTGCACAATGCGTGGTCATAACTAGAGCTCATAACTAATACAGCTTCAGAAGACCTAATGGTTATTTAATTATTTTTCCAGTCATTAACACCATTGTCAGTGCACGGAAACCACTTATCAGGGTATTCTCCTGTATTCTGCAAAACCAGGAGTGGCATTCAGGTTTGCACCAGCATGAAATAAGTGTCAAATTTTGGGGTGTACATGCCATTTAAAGGAACACACATTTCATAGACCACCCATTTGGTATTTCCCTCAATGCTAACTGGAAGTCATAAGACATATCAGTAATCAATCATGCAAACAAGGTCACCACATATATATATACACATGTGCTTCTATTGGGTGTGGGTGTTAGCAGAAGCATCAGCAAACGTCTTCATGCACAGTGCGTGTTTAGGTTTTGCTGGGCGCTTTAGGGACATGCAACCTGTTTGTGAGCATCTCACTGTTGATTCAGACGCAGATTATGTTTTTCCGGTTATGTGTACATACTGTATGTATTTTTTTTTTATATGACTCACTTTTATCGGTTACTCTATTTACAGAACTAAAAAAATTTATTTCCAAAGGAGGGCAGTTTCCCAGATGATATCAAAGTAAGTAAAAGAAAATGCCCGCAAATGTCTTCCATTTCGAAGGCAAATACATGGCTTGATGCCACGATGACATCAAATTCCACTTGTCAGCACTCTATTGGCTAAATGCTGATGATTTCCGGCATCGTGAGCTTAGATTGATTTAAATGCCTTGGGATTTTTTTGAAGCACCATAACGGTGACTCACATCTCTGTGTATTTTTAAGTGTTATGTGATTTTACGATGATGATCTTTGTTTACTGGGAGCGATAAAGCTCAAAGGCTTTCGGCTATATTTGCATTACAGTATCTGGGCCATCTTCTACTACCAACAGATAATCCAGATCTTCTCATAAAACGTTTGTTTCCAGTGTCCCGCTGGGTTTGTGGGATTGAGGGATGGCCTTGATTAGAAGCTCATTATCATTCTCTGTGTCGTGATAACGGTATTTCCAGAAAGACTACAGAGACACAGGAAAGACTCTCACTACATCAGTTAGTTTCCACTTGAACTGCTCTCCATTAGCACAATGGAAAAATGCTGCGTTAAATGGGACAAGTGAAAATCACTCGTGTTTTGAATCACTACCACTGAGAATACGCATTGTGTTTACAATATCTGAGATATAATCAACATTATCATCATATTTCTGTATGACACTTCAAGCTGTTTATCATTTAATGAAGGGAACTGGTGACAAATGCAGGGGTGGAACACCTCTTCTTATTTGTTCAGAGGTTAATTACTCCATCAAACATGATTACTGTGAAAAAATTAGATCAAATGCTAAAAGTTACCATGTAAGTTTTTTTTGTTGTTTACGTCCTCGCTGAGATAGATTGAATGTTGCTATCTCTGTTGCAGTGATTTGCTGAAATCAAAATGTTTATGGTCAAAATCAATGAGATTCAAAATGCTGGGGCTGGATGATAAAAAAATAATGGGCTCTAATTTAACGGTCTAGGCGCAAAGTCTAAAGCACATGGCGCCAATGCGCTCTATGTGGCGCATGGTCTAACAGGGCTGTGCTTATTCTCTTAATGAGTTCTGGATGTGTTTTGAGCATAAACCAATCAGATCTCCCATTTCCTTTTAGAGGCAGTTGCATCACACCATGTCGCATTTGCCATTTACATGGCGGACTTCGTAAGTATAAAAACCGAATGCTTCAATCGCGAGAGAACAGTTAA